TAGATACTCTCTTGTCCTTATTAACTCCTAGAGGAGCATAGGCCATCTACAACATTTCTCCTGCGAAGCCTGTCCTGTGCATCATTTTCTAGCTGTTTCCATGATGTCCCCGCCTTTTCCATTTCCGCTTGTACCGCTCGCCTCCATGTTATCTTTGGTCTTCCTTTCTTACGTTTTCCTTGTGGATTCCTCTTCAAAGCCTGTCTGATGATGCTTGTCGGGGGTCTCCTCAGGGTGTGTCCAATCCATTTCCATTTCTTCGTCGATAGATAGATAGAAGTTATTTGTCACATATCTGACTCTGGATGATGATGATGCTTCTGATAAGGTGTGTTCTGTGGTGATGTTGTAGCTGTAGAAACAGAACCGTTATATTATGTGAGTTTTGCGTTTGCCGGTTGAAGCCACATTGAATGTATAAAATTATATGTATTTTTGCGTCGGTGGTCTAGTGATAAGGTACCTGCATTTACAACCGTTAGGTTGTGAGTTCAAATCCTGACCTGAGCACGACGCTGAGTTGTTTGGACTTAACACCAACGTTTCTCATTTTACCCATGTAAGAATGTGCCTCTGCTTGAGACGGTAAAAGTTCTTGTTATTATTCGAGCGACTGTAAAAGCACAACGTGCACTGAATGTTTCTCATGAACGATTCGGGGTCTGTCGGGGTAATGATAAGAGATTAAAAGGAACAAAGCCTATTTTCGAGTAAAGATGTATCATCGTCGTCATCATCATCATCATCATCATCATCATTATCATCATCATCATCATCATCATCATCATCATCATCATCATCATCATCATCATCATCATCATCATCATCATCATGGGGTCGTCTGGGGTAATTATAGTTGTAATGCGCGAAGAGCATGCTCTAGAGCATGGATATGCGCTCTATAAATGCAATCATCATCATCATCATCATCATCATCATCATCATCATCATCATCATCATCATCATCATCATCATCATCATCATCATCATCATCACCAGCATCATCATCCACATCATTATCAACAGCAGCAACAACAACAACGACAACAGCAACAACAAAAACTACACCAGCGACAGCAGCAACAGCAATGTCATCAACATTGTCTGCATCGTGATGTCATGCATTATGTACTGCTAATAAATCTTTCACGCGCTCTCTACATTAAACACAGTGCTCACTGTCGTCTGCTTTCGTCTCCTCTTTCTGCCCCCATCCCGTCACCTCATTTGCCCCCTCCTCTGGGCTCCTGGCTCTTTCTGCAGCCTTTCTACTGCTACTTCTTGGCTCCTTCTTACTGCTATCTTTCAGCCACACCCCTGATCTTCTGGTAGGAAAGATCTATACCTAGCCTTTTCGGACAAGTGCGAAAAATCTCGGAGGGTCCGAGTGCAAGTTGCGCACGTTAAAGACCCAGTCTCTAAATTAAACACAATACACACTGCTGTGCCTAAATGTCCCAATAGGGATCATTCAAACTGTCTCTTTTCTTTTCTAACATTTTTGGGACTCGCAACTGTTAGGTCGTGGGTTCGAATTGCGCCAGGGGCCTACCGTTGTGTCCTTGAGAAAAACACTTTACACGATTATTATTATTATTATTATTATTATTATTATTATTATTATTATTATTATTATTATTATCATCATCATCATCATCGTTATTATTATCATTATTATTATTATTATTATTATTATTATTATTATTATTATTATTATTATTATTATTATTACTGTTGTTTGTTTGTTTTTTGTTATTGTTGGTGGTAGTAGTGGTGGTGTTGATGTTGTTAATTTTGTTGCTGTCATTATTATTATTATTATTATTATTATTATTATTATTATTATTATTATTATTATTATTATTATGATTATTATTATTATTATTATTATTATTATTATTATTATTATTATTATTATTATTATTATTATTATTATCATCATCATCATCGTTATTATTATCATTATTATTATTATTATTATTATTATTATTATTATTATTATTATTATTATTACTGTTGTTTGTTTGTTTTTTGTTATTGTTGGTGGTAGTAGTGGTGGTGTTGATGTTGTTAATTTTGTTGCTGTCATTATTATTATTATTATTATTATTATTATTATTATTATTATTATTATTATTATTATTATTATTATTATTATTATTATTATTATTATTATGATTATTATTATTATTATTATTATTATTATTATTATTATTATTATTATTATTATTATTCCCTTTCTGTCTGTTTCAGCGCAACCCATCTTTGCTTTCTGCTGGACAGAGCCACGCTGGGCGGAGCCTGCGCCATGAGACATCATTGTTTAAGTGACAGCCATGAGAGCTTGGCCTAGCAACACGATCCTCCATTTGATTATCCTTTTCCTGATTCTGCCGGGTCCCTGGGCCTTCTTCGGGTGAGTTCTCACAGGCATTGTCACACTTGGTTACTTGGTTACTTGATTATTTGGGTACTTGGTTACTTGAGTACTTGGGTTCTTGGGTACTTGGTTACTTGGCTACTTGGTTACTTGGTTATTTGGGTACTTGGTTATTTGGGTACTTTGGTACTTGGGTACTTGGCTACTTGGCTACTTGGTTACTTGGTTACTTGGTTACTTGGTAATTTGGGTACTTAGTTACTTGGGTACTTGGTTACTTGGTGACTTGGTTACTTGTTTATTTTGTTACTTGGGTACTGGAGTACTTGGTTACTTGGTTACTTGGTTACTTAGTTACTTGGTTACTTGTTTATTTGGTTACTTGGCTACTTGGTTACTTGGTTGGAGAATTATAGGTATCATCGCAGGAGGTTCCTGAGATAATATCTCCAAAAGTTTTTCGCCTACTGCAGACATATTTATTCTTCCGAAGTGAAGTCCATGGCTCTAGAAGAAAGGGTTAACACTTTTATTAAAAACCCACAAAGATAAGTGTGTTATGTTTGCATTCTTTTTCCGTCCTTTGCTCATTATCTGTTCTTACGTCAGATCAGGATAAAAAGAAAAGACTGGCGCTCATATGACCTTATGCAGTTGCGAGCGCCGTAAATATTCCACACAAACTTAAAAAAAAAGAGATTTCCAAGGTGTCAGCTCAAAGGGAAGGACAAGGGAAGCCGGGTGTATTTGCACTTCCTGATTACGAAAATTACCTGCTTTAAAAACATACCCCTATTCAAAAGTAGGCACGGTGACCTTTTTAATTAATAATTACCCCAACAAAATCCTAAATATACGGTCTGGAATAATCTCAGCTTCGTGGGAAACACCCGGAGAAAGCCGCCACTTCGCTGGTGTTCTAACGATCTAACATGCTGACAGGTTCTCTCATTAGCAGACTGTCAGTCAAACGAAAATTGTTTGTCACACGGATGGACCAATTTAATTCTTATAGAAGAAGAAGAAGAAGAAGAAGAAGAAGAAGAAGAAGAAGAAGAAGAAGAAGAAGAAGAAGAAGAAGAAGAAGAAGAAGAAGAAGAAGAAGAAGAAGAAGAAGAACAGCAACAACAACAAGAACAACAACAAGAACAATAACACAACAGTAACAACTATAACATCAATAACAATAACAACAGTAATAATACTAATGATAATGATACTACTACTACTACTACTACTACTACTACTACTACTACTACTACTACTACTACTACTACTACTACACTACTACTACTACTACTACTACACTACTACTACTACTACTACTACTACTACTACTACTACTACTACTACTACTACTAAGAAGAAGAAGAAGAAGAAGAAGAAGAAGAAGAAGAAGAAGAAGAAGAAGAAGAAGAAGAAGAAGAAGAAGAAGAAGAAGAAGAAAAACTGCATAATATATATAACGCACACAGCATGCTCTATGAGCTCTTTAACTATGGTTACCCCAGCAGACCCCAGAACCATCGGACACATTCTCACCTGCTAGTGTTCACACCAAAGTCCCATGTCCTGCCTTTGAAGGAAGTTGGCGGGATTATGTCCAGTCGGCTTTACGGCGGCCATAAAATTTCTTCCGTCAGTTTAAGTCTCATGTAGTCTGAATGTCCCCTTAGCTGGGTTCTCATTCTCTCTTGAGTGAAGTGGGGAAATGTATTAATAATACCATGGCACTTATACAGCGCTCAATCCCGATTAAAGTACAAAGGCATTGAGCGCTTTACAATACAACAGTAACGTATAATCCTTGTGTTCTCACCAAAAGAAAATCCCTCTCTAAATATTTATCTAATTAATTTAAAAGCAGAAATGACTTAAGTTGAAATGTGAATGAATTAAAGAATTTTATCTCTCTTTAAGTACTGGCCAAAGCATTCCATAAGTTTCCACAAGTTTCCATTAGTGGGGAGATGGACCTGTAGTATCTTTCCCAAGATCACAATCTCAGGCCCCGATCAGGATGCGAACCAACCCTTTGACAGTTCAAAGATGTGGTCCTTACTTCTAACGCCACTTATCATTACAGCATGTATTATATAATAACAATAATAATAATAATAATAACAATAATAATAATAATAATAATAATAATAATAATAATAATAATAATAACACAATTTAAAAAATAATAATAATACAAAAATTTGACATCACGTGATGAGTGTGATCCTGCTTTCCAACAGTCAATATGTAGTCACTGGACATCATAATTGTATAGCGTTTGTGTTATTCTCAAGAAAGCAACAATGTGTGTTTTCCCCCCATTAATTTTGAAAAGCGCATTCAACATCTCTAGCCCTGTTTCTTTTCGTGAACAGTACATAAGCGTAGACAAAAATGCAGAAGAATTTAAGGGTGGAGAAGAAAGGGCTTTTTAGAACTTTTTAACTGTTTTTGTTGTCTTGTCTGCTTTTCCGAAAGGGGGTCAACGTGTTTGTTTGTGCGTTTGTGTATTTATGTGCGTGCGTGCGTGCGTGCGTGCGTGTGTGTGTGTGTGTGTGTGTGTGTGTGTGTGTGTGTGTGTGTTTGTGTGTGTGTGTGTGTGCGATTTACTTTTTTCTTTTTTTAGCAGGGGATGGGGGTATGTTTATACGTATTAGAGTTTATGTTCGTATCTTTAACTCATTCAGGTTCACTTGCTCTTTTGTGTTGGTAACAGCTTTTTCAAGAACAGTAACCAGGGGAATATTGAAATGAAAGTACCTGAAAAGCTTCACAAATACGTTTGTTTATTTTTGCCTTCTACTTTCAGGCTAACAGCTCGTGAACCCATATTGACCTTAAGCCCAAATTTTGAAGAAAGAATGCGAGAAGTTCGACAACGTCGGAAACCTACCCCTGCAGATCTATGCAACATGCTGGGTCTTCACCGGAAGCAGAAACATCTTTGCCGGAGAGGACAAGGTGTTGCAGAGACGCTGGTTAGGGCGACACGGTTGTCTGCCCTTGAATGTCAACATCAGTTCCAGCACGAGCGATGGAACTGTACGCTTGGGAAATATAGGATGCATATACTAGAAAGAGGTTAGTGACTTTGTATTGTAGCAAGTTGTTGTCTTTCAAAGACTGTTGAACCTGGACTGTTTATTATTGCATCGTCCAATGGTAATCGATTCTACTTTGCTACCTTAAAATTACAAAGTTCCATCTGACATTTTTGGCCGCTTCAAGTTACTAGGACCATGATGTCAGAAAGCGAATGTTTTATTAAATTATATTCTATCACTTTCGTAAGATTATTTGGAGTCGTTATCAAGAAATTCAAAGACTTTCATTCGAAAAAGCTTGACATGTTGTGAAACTCAAAGATTTTAACGTCAAATTTCTTAAAACTAGGTATTGAGCAGATAGATTTTTGTAATTCTTTGGGTAGCGACTTATCTTGATGTGGTGTCAACACTTTGTCTGCTCATACAGTCAATCGAATTGCAAAAATGTCGCAGCGTGCTTCTTTCCTGTTTTGAACTAATTATTAGCCTATCGTCTTGACGTTTTGCCTTTACTTCCAAACATCTGGGAAAGAAAAGAAAAAAAAAAGAAGCGTGTACCCTCACAAGATGACAGAGGAGCAAGTGATTATTCGGCTCCTGAAAAGCAGGACGGCGCCCGGTAAAGCTTCAACACCTGTTTCAACACTGTAATGTTATTATTTGTAAAAGCTGGACTGCGCCTCATCAGATTTGCAACATTTAGATACAACGCACATGACAGAGAATATAGATAGCTGGAATTGTGATTTGTGGACGGATCATCGTCCTTGACCCGCCTAAACATGAAGTGGGCATTGCTTTGTCCTCATCTTAGGAGGGGAGGGGAGTGGTTGGAATAAATGCTCCATAAAAGTACCCTGAATTTTGCATTACCACGGAAACGTACTAGTCAAATCAAAATCAGAGCTATTGTATCATCATCACTTAACCATATATAACCAAGCCTTTCACGTAAAGCTGCTGAACAATAGTGGGTGATTAGCAGGTGCTCTGGTGTGGTTTGCTCCTTTTTTCTCATCAAACATCTATTCTCCTTATCTCTCCTCTTTCTACTTGTGTTTCTTACTCTCTTGTAACTCATCTTATTTTCTGCACTTACATGACCTTATTGTGTTGCATGTGCCGTAAAACCTTAACTAAAACACAAAGCTGCTGTATGGGTCTGGTCGCAAAGGGATCACGATTTGTCCCCGGGACAAGGCCAAATTTAGTGTACGTCAACCAAACACATCAACATGTTTTTTAAAGCCCTCAGCGTGGGAGCTCTCGTGGTCTAGGGGTTAAGGATTTCGCCTCTCATTCAAAGGTCCCGGGTTCGAATCCGGGTAGCGACCAAAAATTTTTCTTCTCTAAAATTGTCTCCTTTCACCTTCTTTCCTTCCCTCTTGCAATATTCTGTCGTCTACTTTCGTCTCCACTTTCTTCCCCCTCCACTGGGATCCTACTCCTTGGCTCCTTCTTACTGCTGTCTTTCAGCCACACCCCTGATCTTCTGGTAGGAAACATCTACACCAAGCCTTCTTGGACAAGGGCGAAAAATCTCGGAGGTTCTAAGTGCACGTTGCGCACGTTAAAGATCCGTTTTTGCCATTTTCATGGAAATGCGAGGCTGAAAAGCTTTGGCAAAATTATGATATAAGCCTACAACCCTTCATATTATGAACACACTGACGTGACAATTATTTAAAAACAATTACTTTTTTCGAATGTCAATCCCATTGGCATGTCCATTAGAATGAAATAACCCATGCTATACTTGCCAGCTGGCACACAAACCTCTATACCACACGTATGGCTGCGTGGATGAGTTCGGTAATGTATTGGATGGACAACCGTCTTTTGCCAAAAAATGTGCTTTTGTAAAACAGCAGTGTCAAGCAAAAAGTTATTGATTGACATTTATTTCGAATGGATCTGGCTCCTTTGTCTTAGATATAGCCGAACTCGATTCGTAAAGGTCTGTGTTGCTCGAAAGCACACCCCTGTGATCACGAACCTATTTTGAAGTTCACAGTCCTCTTTTCATCTGGATCGTGGTTTTACTCTATTTATCTTTTTCTATTTATCCTTTTCTTGGCCCTTGTCTCTTTTTCGTTGTCATGCTAATGATTGTGTGGGTGGCAGATAATTAATCTTGACAATGAGAACGTGAGTAAGTAGAAACAATACTTCAACACCAAAATAGAAAAAGAAAAATATTAATATTAAAGCTTGATTTTTAAATATACTTGGGTTTTTTTTAAAAGGTCCTTATTCTTCTGTTCTTTTCACCCATTCTACTCCCCCCCCCCCCCCAGCCCCCGGGACATATATACCATGACTGATGTCTCTGCTGATTTGATGAGTACCCTTTTACAGCTGGGTGCACTGGGGCCATAAGACAGGAAATAAAGTTCATTGCCTAAGGATTCAATGTCCCCCCCCCCCAAAAAACCCCCCAAAAAACAACAACAACAAACAAAAAAACAAACAACAAAACCCGATGGAGTTGGGAATCAAATCGTAACATTTTTTATGTCAACTTCAACGCCTTACTTCTTCTTGGGCGCCCTTGAAGAAGAATTGAATAGATCCACTGTTTGGCCGCAGGTAATGCTAGTTGTGTACTTCCGCACCCCCCCCTCCCCCCCTCCCCCCCCCCACCCCCACATTCTTTCCTTTACGTAAATTAGTCTTCAACAAAACAATGCATGGGGGACAGATGTCTTATGTTTATCTGTGAATAGGTCTCTGGTTGCAGTGAGAACGGCACCTTGAAAAACTGATCTACACGCAACTTACGTAACTATTAGTTATTTGTCCTCACATTTTTCAGCATCTAAAACTTCCCAGTTTGTATTAACTCAACCCCCACTTAAAAGCAGAAATGAATTCTCCATGCATTAAACATACAGTTTGATAATTAAAGAAGATGTGGATTCGCTATGGTTTTTGTACAGTTTTGTTTTGACTGTAAACATCTGAGCTATGTCGAGCAATAGCCGAACTTGCTCGCTGTATACTAATAGTTAAAGAAAAACAGACGTAGGACAAGACGTAAGAAAAAACAACAACAGAGAATAAAACCAGATCTATGTCGTTTAAGTAAGCAGCATTTGCAACACCGCTCGCTCTTATGACGCAGTATGTTGCCATTTTTTGCTGTCATGCGGGAATTGCGGGGTAGAACGCGAGCAGCGTCCAAATTATTGTCGTCCGCCCTGGAATGTGGTATTATTTTCATCACATCCTGGTGTCCAGGACGAAAATAGATAGCTCCAACCTGTGAAATTATCTGCTTTATATCCACTGCGGCGTAAAACACAAGCGAAAACATATATAAACAAAAGTGCCTTTTAGAACTTAGAAAAAACTAAGAAATTGTACGATTAATTTTGAACGATAATGTTGAAAAATAGGAGTCAGATGGAATATTCACAAATTGATTTTTAACTCTGAATTCAGTTTTCCCCAAAAAATTCCACGTTTGGCGTACATTTCTTTTGTTTGTGAAGTTGAATAATTTGTGAACTTTTTTTTCAGCGTGTGCGTGCCTGAAGAGGAATTTCTTAATGTGTGTGCCACTCTCTGTTAGGAATTTAGGACATTCAAAAAGAAAGTGGAGCACGACGAATGGTATGCCGTGGACAGTTCCCCTCAGTGAACAAATTACTGGCCTGTGGTCAGCGTCGTTAATGGGCGAGATGGTCACAGGGTCGGGCGAACGCACGTCCCCGGTCTGTGGCTGGTATGTTGGCTTGCCAGAATCTGATCAGGAGCGGTTTGCGGAAGGAGGGGCGTTCGGTTTGGGCGGGGAGGGGGAGGGGGGTACTTAAAAACAAATACAAATCCTACATGTACGTTACATTCGACTTTTGAAATATGAAACATAAAAGAGATAGAACGTTTTCACTTTGTTCTCTCCAAATCAACTTCTCTCAATGACAAGAGGTTTAAGTGACAGCTGCGAAAAAGTCACGGGAATTTAAGGAGCCAGATAACATTTCTTTGGAAACAATGATTACTTCAGTACAGTCAGTAAAACAGTGCTAGTAGGCAATTGAAGATTATGGGAAGAGTGTCACGGTATTCAGTAGACTAATCGCGTTATTGTCTATCTTTAAATAAGTTAAAAGCGTCAAACAAGGGTCCTTCAAGGGTCAATTCTTTTCATCCTACGTCCTGACTTGGGGCCAGTTGCTTTTCCTTCGAAATGACTGTTACCATTCTTTCTCCTTGGACGCAACACTCTCCCTTTCCCAAACTGACTAAATACCCCCACCGCCCATCCCCCACCCCATCCGCTTTTTCACTTTCCAAAGGGAAGTGACAATCCTCGAGGGGAGGTAACAGACCCCCTGACCCCCCCCTCCCCCGGGGGAAGTGCCACTGACTGAAGTGTCTTTAGGCCATTATCATAGGGGAGACATTTCTCGTTCTTATGCTCAGTAGAATTGTAAACGGGCTGATTCAAAAATGTCATGCTCATAACTGTGCCTGAGCTACAACAGGGAACTGCTGCTTTTTCTTTCCTAATCCTTACTATCGCCATTTTCCTCTACTTCTTTTGTATGTTTGTTACACTCTTGTGACTCGGTATTTCCGGGGTGCCTTAAAAGTCGAAGCAGACTTTGTACTGTTGAAGCTAGAGTGGCTCATATGACCTTATGCAGTTGCGAGCGCCGTAAAACCTCTACCGAAGAAGAATATATATATATATATATATATATATATATATATATATATATATATATATATATATGTGTGTGTGTGTGTGTGTGTGTATTAAGACTCCCTGAACCAAAAGACTCGCTGCATATCAGCAGAAGGTGCAGCCCATCTCATGGTAAAGGCTGTACAACACACCAGAACATACACGCTCGTTCAATTGCATATGTATGACAATTCGCTTTGGGGCATTGCATCTACTTTCGTTCCTTCCCGCTGCCTTCAACAGGTTGTACAAATGCGTCATATTGGGTGCTAAACGTCTCCCCCCACCCCCCACACACACACACACACGCGCGCGCGCGCGCGCGCGCACAGACCTTCAAA